AATTTGTAACAGTAGTGCTGTAATATGTTTCTATTTTAGTGGAAATGCTGGTCAAGAATTCCTCAGACCACATACTGGTACGGGTCTGCTTTTCCTTGGTCTGGTGTTGCGAATGGGCTAAGCCATGCTATAGAGAACGGATGGCCAAATACTGCTTTCATGTTCATCCATTTTGTTTTTTTAGCCCATCTTCTCTCTTCCTTTTTCAACTGTTCTATTCCCTGAAAACAGAAATATCACATTTTCAGTCAAATACTCAGATTCTGTAGTTCTGGATTCGGGGAGAAGTCTATTCTCAGTTACCCCTTATCCAAAGGATGGAGTAAGAAAATACAATTGCACCTGTACTGCCTTTCCTTTTCTTCTCACTGTTTTATATTTAAAAACATTAAGGCTAGAGAGTGTTCCTTGGAAATAAAATTACTTTCAATTTGTTCAGTCCTAGATACTGTGATGTCAATTAAGAAAAAAAACCCACCACTTAAAACCAAACAAAAAGTATGTGCTTTAATGGCTGAACGCGTTATGTGCTAACCAGATGGAAAAGTTTTGGAAGAATCCATTATAAGCTTGCAGACAAAAAAAAACACCAAAAAAGAACAAAAAAACCCCCACAAACCCAAAGATAATCTTTACAATGCTCCCAGATTCACCAAGCAAGTTCAGGAAGTGCCCATGGCTCAGTGTAGCTGAGTCTACCTCTTGCCCCTTCATTATGTCATTAGAATCACTGATAAAACATGCATGGGCTGACTGCAGGGAGAAAGGGTTAAACAGGACACTGATTTGAAGAAATCATTGGCATTGTTTAGTAAAGGTTAGAGGCAGAACAAAAATAAGCCATCAAGCAATCAGTTGAAACATTCATTAGTTGAACATCAAAAAAAAAAAAAAATTAAAAATTCCACATTGTGTCTAAAACCCACAAAGTGAATTTGGTCTTTCAGGAAAGCCATATATGCCTGGCCTGCCACAGAAGCCAAATGAACAAGTGCAGTCACTGTAGTGCATTACTCATCCACGGGTAGCAGCGGGCAGATCATTCTGTTCTTTAACTCTGCATCTCTTGCAAGGTAAGGTTTCTCCTGACCTACATGTCTCTCCCATGCTATGGATTAATGCACTGCAATACATCTGTGCATCTCAAATTACCGGTGCTGGGAGCTCTGAAGAACACAACATGGGTCAACTGCAGGAGTTGTGCTGATCCCTGGGAAATGCCACCTCTAGAGACAAGAGCAAAACACCAGGGCTCTGGCTCCCTTCAGGCAGAAAGGAACCATATTGGTGGGACAGAATTCTCAAGATGATGAATGACGTCTCCCAGTGATTGGAAGAGAAAGGTGAAAAAAGGGTAAGACACAGCCCTGCTGTCTAAAATGTGAAGTAAAACACTGCAAGAGAGCACAAGAAGAAGAATTTCACCTGGAAGTATTCCTCTGCTCAAAACACAGACAGGGCTAGCTCAAAGCTAGCAAATCAACGAGATATTCCACAGAGCTAAATCCTTATTCAAAAAGTACATATTCAAAAAAGAAAACAAAAATGAAAACACACAACCCAGCAGAGGGAGACCATATTTCTTTTTTTTTTTTAATTTTAGATTGTGGTATTGCTCCTTTAACCCCTATAAGTCCCCAGAATTAGAGGGGAAGGAAAATCTGGGGAACTTATTTGGTTGCCCAGCTCTAGAAGGCAGCTTCTAAAAATTCTTGACAGGTTTCAAAGACAGAGAAATTCAAATGATAATTTCACAGGCAGCATTGCTAATTTACACACTTATTGACGAAGTCAAGCCCAGCAGGATCTGTAAAACACTGTACTTCTTCCTGGGGCTCTCTCCATCAGAAGGAACAATGAAGTCTTCTTCTGAACACAGAAGAGCCACAGGTGGAACATCAGCCTCTTGCAGAAGCCAAGCATTAAAAAGAAGCACTGCAAAAAAGGACGCAGGAGCAATGGGCCCTTACAGCATATGATGCCAATCATACCTCTCCAATGGCAGCAAAAATACCTATTCTAGCTTCCACTGGCCATGGGCAAACAAGGTGGAAAGAAAGGAGGCAGGGGAGGAAAGAAGAGCTGTCACTCTTTTAAGACTGTCACTTCTCTCCAACCACTCCAGTCAATTCAATTGTATCTGAGCGTGCTTGGTGAAGACTAGAAGAATTCACAAGTGTGGGAACACACCCAGGAGTCACTAGCTCCATCCTTACAGAACTGGGGAAATGCAGGGATATAGGATAGACTGTAACACTGCTATATAACCTCTACTATGCTACCCTTGAATTGGGGATGATTTGATTGTTTTCCAGCAGACTGTAACCAGCAGGGTTCCACAAGCCTACCCCACTCCCTTTTCTTTTTCCCTCTGGCAAGTTTTTGAACTATTTAATAAGTAGCCAAAACTGGGAAATCTTGCAGGCAAAAAGAAGTCTCTGTGTGTGTATGTGTTTATATATATCCCTCCCCACCTACTCATCTTGACTTTCCAGTACATTACCCTGTAAATAGTGACAACCAGGGCACTCCTGAGTTTCAGACAATACCAGTGGAAAAGCAAAGAAAAAAAAAGGGTCTTGAATCCGTAGGGAAAAATACTCTCTACAGAGTAATCTCAGTTACCAATGCCTACTTTATTGGAGGTACTGTGAACACAGCATCCCAGCCAATACATAGGCATACGCTACTTCCCACAGTAACCTGCAGGGACCACAATCCAGCACTGTGATAGCTCAGTTTATTACACTGGATCTTTCCTCAAGGGGCACATGAACATCCTGTGCAATGAGGTAAAAACCTGTAACCCTTCACTGTTTCTACAAATGGTGAGAGAAAAGGTAAAGGAGAGAGAGTGTGAGACACTCACCGTTTCATCAGTGCAGATGGAGTGTACTTGGGTCCCAAACATAACTGAGGTGAAGATGAGAAACAGGAGAGCTTCGAAACACAAGAGGATGAGAAGAATCACTGTAGTCGGTGGAGAGAAGGAACTGCATTCTGTGAAGATAAAACAACAGAGTTGGAAAGGTAGACATCAACTAATGCAGCAGCTGCAAAACACCTGCTAAACCACAAGTTTTCCATACTCAAGCTGACAAATAAATTATATGTTCATCATTCCCAGAAAAGTACACAGAGAAGCTCTCACATTCATAAAATGATCACTCTCACAAGTTTCAAGAAAAGAAAAGACAGACAAACAAAATAAAAACCAAAACAAAAAACAAACACAAAAACCCAAACAAACCCTGCAGCACTTCAACCTGCTTTTCCGTTTCGGTTTTTTTTCCCAGCATACTGACTAGGACTCCATTCTACTCCATTTCACCTGTAGCTTCTCTCTTAAACCTTAGTCTTAACAGATTTTCCACAGTGATAAAGTCGATTAGAAATCTCAAGCTGGCAGTCAGGACATGAGGATATGTAGCAGCAACCTAAAACCAGAGTATGCTTCCTTTCGTAACTGTTCTAAGCCATGACCTAAAGAAGGTCGGATTAAGCCAAAATCTTATTCTTCCTCATAATCTATACTGCAAACCCAAGCAAGAGCTAAAAAAAACCCACCCTAAACCAAGAAGGTAAATACAAAAGAGAAGCAGAAGAAAGGAAGGGGAAGAAAAATGTTGAGTGTTATAAATGTTAAAACATCTCCAGATTTCTTCAAAATCCAAGACTTTCACCAAAAGTCTGTATTTTTCTCATGAGATGTTGAACTTTAACAAATACACCACAATCAGGGGCTAACACAATCTGCACAAATGGAAGGAGCTGGAACAACCTATCCATCTCTCATAACAGCTCTGTTCTGCCACCTAAACCTAGAGCAGGTGGGAAGGTGCTTTCCCCACACAAACAGGCTCTGAGAAAGGGGGTAAAGGAAACTACCTTTTGATGTATCCTTCCTTTTATGGCCCTGGCCACTGTAGTCAAATGCAGTTCTCAGTGACAGTTGGCAGCTGTTTTACTCAGTTTTGAACTGCAGAATAACCTTGTCAAATTTAATTCATATGCACATCCTCTGCAACAGTATAAACTAAAACCAGTCATTATATTGAATAACACAACTGAAATTCCAGGAAAAAAAAACCCTAATACTTTTCAAAAAAAAAATCACAAGCAGCACATAAATCAGCACACACATTCTTTGACAGCTTGCTGTTTGACTCAGCATTACCTCGAGGATTTCCTATATCCATTTGTGGTTTTAAAAATGTATATAGACTGGCTTCGTGAAAATTTACTCACTGGCTGATTCAGAGTGAGGGCTGGAGTTTTTATTTTGGCTTTTTAGAGCTGCTTGGGTTCTGGTTTTGGTTTGCCCTTTTTTTTTTTTGAAAGGAATTGTTTGTTCTTGTGAGGGTGGATTTTTGGATCTGAGTTCGCATGTTTTTCTGGCAGTCTTGCAAGAATGATTCATGTTACCCTTTTAAAAAAAGCATATGCATTCCTCTTATCTTGTGCTGGCATTCAGGAAATTAGTGCTGTGCTCATGTCAACACTAAGTTATTGCACACACACTTGTTAGGTGTCTTTACATCTCAGCTTTTTTTCCTAGGCAGTATCAGGTGTAAGTTGAAATAGGACTTTTCAGGACAGAGATCCCAGCAGGTCGAAAAGAATTATAAAGTTCCAGGATTGATCATTAAAAAAAGATTTAAAAACAGAGATAGCATAGCAGAGCCCTGGTAGCATTCTTCTGAAACAAGCAAACTACATTATGAGTTCTTGCTCAAAAACTAATCTGATATCTTAAGGAGGTGTTTTGTTAGTACTCACTTGTCCAGTCTTCTTCAAAGCAATACAAGAAGTGAAATCCCACCATGATTAAAGCATGCAGGGAAATCAGTGCTATATACATCTGAAAAATAAAGGATGTAATATAGGTACCAGGTGAGTTTGAAGACCAAAATGCTACATCTTCCCAACACTTCAAATACAGCAAAGTGCTAATATTTCAAAACAAAACCAAACCACAAACAACTCCAAAAACCATCAAACTCTTCCACCTCCCCTAAACAAGCACCATGAAGCTGGCAAATACCACAACTACACAGACTCATTCTGGCCTTAGTACCAGCTCTGAGCAAACATGAGGGAGACTGCTGAGTTCAAAGCCAGCTGGATACCAAACCCAGCCTCCCCTGTCCCAGAGTGCCCTTCCACACACTTTCCTGTCCTTATCTCCCCCAAGTACAGCACAACTTTCAGAGAACAGTAATGCTGACATCTAGGTATCACATTGTCAGAGCTTACATCCTTGCTCTTGACAGCCCTGTAGTCTCCCAGAGAAACAACAGATAATTTGTTTTAAACAGAGAACGCACTTTATCTGTTTTCCAGCATGAGTTTCAGAAAAATTATGTATTTGTTTAATAAGCACTTTCCCTGAGGCAGATGCTGGCATGGAAAATTTCTCTCTGGCTTTAATACTTCCCAGTAAATACTTTTTGTTTTAAGCTAGGTCTTAGCTTTGTAACAGAAAGTGTATGTAACAAAAAGTTGTAACAGCAACTATATGCAATGCTACACGTTCATTACAATTTACTAAGACAGGGCTAAAAATAGGACTCTCCTGAACCTACACACTCTGACAAAGGTCAGCACATACTAGAAGTGAGAGAGATTTTGTTACAAGAAATCCCTGTGGAAGCAGTAAAAAGCAATAGAGGAGAATTTTTTTTTCCCAGTTCAGTATGCTGCCATTCTTTCACTTCCTCAGGTCTCAAAAAGCGTAACCAAGAACAAAACCAGCAACTCTTATTTCGTTTCCTTCAACTACATTAAATGTTTAATATAGTCTGCTTGAAAGCAGATGTCCAGTTTTAATAGAAACCGAAATCCTTTTGGTAGGACTAAAACACCTAGCTCACTCAAGGTGAAAAAACAACCTTGCTCAAAGCAAAAAAACGGGATTAATTTTGTTCTGTAATCCACATCCTAGCAAACCACACCATACAACTGTAAGCCTTTCCATTTAAATGAAAATCTCCCCCTTGTTCCTTGGTAATATGAGAACAGTCTTCCTCAAACCTATAGATGTCTCAAAAGATTTATTAATAAAACAGAGCATCACTGAAAGTCAGCCCTGTAATGTTCACACTACTCCCACGGGATATTCGCAGTTTGCTCTGATGAAACACATTTCAACCCTTCCAGAAATATGCAGTATTCAAGCGTGCACTCCTGTTTTCTTACTCATGCTACAGATATAGTACAAAAAGTCAAACACCTCCTTGGTTTTCAAGTACAAAAATAAACCCCTCGCAATTAAAAGGTGGATAATTCTCGCCAAAGGGGATGCAGACTTCCCACTCCTCGCTTAAGATGTGGCAACAGCTCTTATTACCTCATCCCACACAGGTACACGTACAACTCTAATGCTCAGGTGCCCTACATATGGCCTGGGACCCTCCCAGCCACGGTAAAAGGACGGCCCATGCATCGAGGAGCTCAATGCCTCGATAAACTGCTCCCATTACAATCTAGATGCTGAACAACTGTCAACACAGTCCTCAAAAAAACCTGGCAAATACTTCCCATGATGTTTTTTCCCACTGCTGTGGGTGGATGGGTGTGTGTGTGTGGGGGGGGTGGATGGATGAGTGTGTTCCCTAACTAGTGAAACAGAAGTCTGCAGCAGCTCCCTGTAAAGTTCTCCCAAAACAGGAAGGAAGGGAAAGCCAGCCTCGGGAGCTGCCTCACGGACTACACACTGCATTTCAGCGCTTCCCACTGGACAACCTCAAGCATCGCTTGCAAAATACTTACTGTAAACAGTACAAAGTACTTCTGGTTATTCTCTCCTACACAGTTATTGACCCATGGGCAGTGATGGTCCATTTTCCGAATACACCTCTTGCAAACGCTGAAAGAATAGAGGTCTTTATTAACAGCACTTTTCACTCCAGGAACACAAGATTTCACAGGGGCTTGGGGAACAAAGAAACTAAAGAAAAGAATCAGAAGTGAAATCTGAATCTTAAAAAATTTACTTGTCACCATATTTATGCTTGTGGTTTTCTATCTTGACTAAGTCTGTTCAAAATGAACCATACGATACCAAATCACCACTGCAAAAATTAATGACACATTATCAGTGGTTCTGTCAAAAATATGTCAAAAATAATTGAGTAATACATTTGGGCAGATGGAAAAAAAATCTGTGATTTTGTTGAGTTTTAACCTATTTCACCTGTGAAAATGTCCACAAATTAAAACCAAAGAGAAACCAGAAAGATACAAAAAGCAGTAATGAATAAGGATATTTTTCAGAGTTGCTAATTACAGACTAAGGTTTATTTACCAACATTTGCTGGCAGCAGGAACTTGCAAAATAGAAAGTTAAATAAGGCACTAGAAAAGATTCTTGACATCAAGGTAAGCCACAAACTAACATAAAACAGCTGTGGCAGTCAGTCAGGAAGACAGTACCACAATATACATTCAAGGTGAAATTAGATGTTAAAGCACTTCACAAAACCAGACTAATAAAATCAAAATTCAAATTCTTGCCAGCGTGCACACTGTGGCCAGAAGTCAAATAATTAAAACATTATTACTTTGTCTGAACATCATTCTCTTGCTTAGTCAGTAACTGCTTCAATTCACATAATAAAGGAAGTCTTTTTCTCTGCTGCTTTCTCATATGATAGGAGACGAAAGGCAGTCTCCTGATACCACATTGCACAAACAAGCACAGAAATCAAATATGAAAAAACACAAAACCCCAAAGCAAACAAACAATAGACCCAGAAAGGAAACAGCCATTCCAGAACAATTCTGGCAGCCCTGAAACAGAAAGGATTGAGTGCTCAGCTAATTTTATTTTCCTTCTTATAAAAAAAAGTATTTTGACCTTAATATAAACAATAAACTTCAACACCCAAACGCTGAAGGGAAACTCAAACAAAAACATGCTCTTATCTGCACGTATGAATAAATAATAGAAAACCTCTCTGTTGGAACAGCCTTTCAGTCCCTCTACGTGATGGGAGGGGGTAATCCCCAAGGATACTTGCCATGCCTGAAAGATAAATGAGTTGCTATAACCCCAATCCTACATGAAAGGTCAGGCAGACAGGCCCTGGCGTCTCAGCATGGGGCCAGATCAGGAGATGCTTCTCCTCAGGTGAAGCTCAGGTACCCCACTACCTGCCAGCCCCAGCTGCAGTGGAAAACGGGAAAAGCCTCATTTTGCCAGAACAAACACCTTGAAATTATTTTTGAGCTACACGGGGACTAAAATCAGCTGGCACAGTAGAAACAATTTATCTGCCAGATAATGTACTTTGTACGATAACGATCAACCACTGCTTTAAAAAAATCATTAAAAAAAAACAAAAAGGAGGGGGGAAGTTGGGGCAGGTGGTGTAAAGGAGAAGGATGCCTCCCAGTCTGCAGATGTGCACACACTTTCCTCCCTTGGACTCTGAAACAGGTGAGTACCCAAGCAATCCCTTCAACTGCTCCTAGGTCCCAGTTCCCCAGAGAGAAAACCTGAAGCAGCCAAGCCACAGATGTGAAAGAGGTAGCTAAGGCTGAGAGATTTTATTCCCTGTACACACACCAAAAGCTGGTACGGATGACAGGCAGAACAGGAAACTAGCTGGTGGAAAAAGGAACACAGAAACCATGACTGAAAAGTACAGGCAGCAGGGATTACCCATACTTAGACACTCTCCCCCTACTCGACCACCCAGCTTCCAAATGCTGTCAGGACTAGTTTACTGGGCTTAGGGGACTCAATAAATAGCACATGAATCAAAAAACATCTTGGTCCCTCTGGCATACCACTAGCAATATCTCCTGCTGATGCATATGCACAACCTTGACGTGTTAAAGTCTAATAAATCTTCCTAGTCCATAGAAAACCTTTTGACTGAAGATTCTCAACAGCATCAGTGCTCAGGGGATGAGTTTCCCAAATCTTAATGTCTAAAAACTTAAAGCATAGAAAAAAGGACCACAGTGATGAGGTTTTGTGTTTAGCCAGAGTTGTCTTCATTTACCTATGCTGTGAGTCATCTCCAAGACAGCATTTTAGATGTGAAGTTTCATTCATAATTGAAGAGCTGTCAGAGGGGATTTTACAGTAGCATTAATAAGTGATAGGCATGATCACGTTGCTCCTGATGAATAACCAACTCCCGACTTTGATCAGAATTTAAAAAAACAACAAAAAAGAAAAACATTTGCCAACTGAAGCTCTGAAAATAAATATGAAAAATGCAAACAGCAGAACGAGTTTGTTCAGCTCATTACCATGTATTCCCCTCCCCACAAGACCACTGCACAAATCAGCAGTAATCCTGGTACAAGTTCTCTTGGTACGCATTGGGTTTTGAGGAGGTAAGGAAGGGACACCAGTGCAAACTGATTAACTACTTACTGGAAAGCAGGTTCGCTTGCTTTAAAAGCAGAAGAGAATTTTAGGAAGTAGTTATTTTTTTGCTCACTGCCTTTAGTACTAAAAAGCTCACTACCAGTTACTCTCTTCCGGGGAGTTTATCCTACCAGAAAAAGAAAGGACATGACAGATCAGTAGGCATACTGATCTATCACACAGCACAAAACAAAGTCACAGTACTCAATAAAAATGTGGAAGTCTGAGCTCTTTAAAAAATATATACAGTTATCTGTACTTTAGTTTTAACTTATATATCACTTCTAAGTAGAATACACAGTTAGATAAATGGGTTTGTGAATAAAAATAAAAATGGAAAGGACACTGACCCTCTGAGAGACATTACATTTTATAGATTTCTACGTATTCTGGTATATAATGTCTCTTTTTAAGTCACATTTACATGAAAATTTATGGAATGCCAATTAAAAGGCTGGAGCCAAGGTAGCACTCATTTTAAGTGTTTCTCACTTTGCGAGAAGTGGCCCCAGTCTCTTATAGATGAAAATTTGTTAGGAAAGGCCTGAGGGTTTTTTCAGAGAAACTTAAATGTGTCTGGCACTATTGGAAAAAGAATTCGTATACCAGTCTCTCAATCTACCCACTCCAGTCTCAGACTCCAATAACAATTTAGATCAAGGCACACGGGTGAATAATTCTTGAGGTCTTGATAATACAGCTATCTTCAGAAAAGACTTTACCTGCAGTGATGTGCTCTGTCAGGTTTGATGCTACAACACTTTGGGCACTTGTAAACCACCTGGCCTGGCTTTAGCTGCAAACTCTCAATGAACTCTTTTGTGGCATTACCTTTGGGTACAGCACCCTGCAGGAAAAAAAAACATAACAAATCAGAAGATTAACCTGTGGACATTATAACTCCCAAGAACAACAGGATGACTTAAAACTATGGGAGGGGAGGAAAGAGAAATAAAAACTTCCCTAAGATCAACAGAGTTGCAAGAAGATTTAGAAAAGAAATTAAAATGTGGTACTAAAATATGGAACCACATACTTAAACATCATTCTGGTGGGGTTTTTTTTGTTTTTTTTAAACATCAATAAATCCTCACTTAAGCAATTATTCTTTTGTAATGCTATAGTAAGCTTAAAATATTTAGGAATCCTCACCCCTCTTTTCACATCAATGAATTTATCATGCCAGGCTTTTTTATTGAAATAAAAACAGAGAATCAAATATTTTGACAGATTTGATAGAACAGTCTCTTTTTAACACATCTATACAACATCCTAACAGCACTAAACAGGAAAGATACACATCAGTGAGAGAACTGCATATTCAACCAGTGCTATAAGCCTTTCTAGGTAACAGTGTTTTCCACAAAAAACTCCCAAAAGGACCAACCAATTTAAAAATTACCAAAACCAATTTCCCCAAAATGCTACAATTCATGTTCACTCCCTTCAATACTCAGCAAAGTTCAAAACCTTAGAAATGTTTTAGCAAGAACCAACAGGAAGCAGTTCCTGAAATGCAAGGCACACACTATCAATTCTGAAGAACTCAGGTGTTCATTTATTTATAATAAGAATTTTGTTTGTTTGCCTCAGCAGTGATTTCTGTTTCATTCTGATCCTAGACGTGCCCCTGGCTCCCCATGTCCTGGCAGCTTCCTTAATCCCTGACTCACAGTGTCTGCCAGATGTTACTGCATCTTTTCTCTGTATCTTCCCTTCTGCATTTTATTTAGCTGAATTCCTCATTAAAAAAATGAAACAAAATCCCACTGGCCCTTGCCCTCCACACACATAAATCCTACCTCACACTAGGAATTAACATATCTTCTCCGAATGACTAGAGATTGTATCTGCTTCTCCAGTGCAGCCCTAGGCATAAAAGCCACACAACATACAATAATTAACAACCACCATCACCCTTAGGACACAAACTATCCAACAAACTGCTGCAGCCCTCTGTTCCCCTCTATTCCAATGACCAGAAGTTTCAGAGCATAAACTACTGCTTACAGTTCTGCCCCACAGCAGCGTGTGCAATTCAACAGCCTTTACCATAAATTGTGAGATTACCCCAGATCAAGCCATTTCTGCAGAGCTGTGGCTTCTCGAAGAACTGGAATCTAAGAAACAAAGGGTTTGTTCTGAAGTCTTAATGGCACCTAACAAGGTTTGAAGTAGGAAATGACATTTGGAAGGAACAGAATACCAGAGGTACACCACCACTCCTGACACCAACAAGAACGCTTGTGAGGAAGGGGACAAGAGAAATCTAAGCGTGTCTTTCCTTCCACTGACGACTGGAGATGGGGTTTTGAATTGAATCTACTGTCCAGGGGTTATCAAGCAAAATAAACCATCATAGGCCACTCAGAATTAGCCTCATGTTGCTAAACTGTATCTTCTTACTAGCTGAAAGATGACAAAGCAGCAGATCAGATCTCTCTGAGCATTGTCCTATGGATACATACAGGGGAGTCTTACAACTCTGATGCTTCCCAACTTGCCTAACAGCTCTTAGCACACTCACACAGTATTTATTTCAGCATTGTCCAGTACACTCAACAAAATCAGGAGAATGAGAGATGGTAACATGGCTTTTCAAAACAACGCACGTTCTGTTCCGTTCTGCTGAAGCAATACTTGCCAAGGCAGACAACTAAAACCAGTTTTTCCAGCTTCACTGTTTGTCAAGACATGACAAGCCACAAACACAAGATCTGCCATTGGGGAGAAAACAGTGTCAGAGAGAAACACTCTCCTTCCCAGTGAAAAAGAGACGCTGCTCACACACTGGGAATCTAAAGCTGGGTCCTTGACTTTGCTTCTGACTTGAGTGGGATGAAAAAAATTAGCATACCACATCAGCAGCCTCACTCAGCAGGCTGACACGCAGAAGATTATTTAAATCTGCCACTCACTCAGCAAGTGAGTTACCCAACATCTAGCAGACAAGAAAAACACCGCCTTGTTTCTTTCCGAGACGCACAGAGAGAGGTATACTTACTGGATCTGTCAGCATAGCACGAAAATGTGAAGCCAAAGCGAGGAAAGCCAAGGTGTTGAACAGTGTGCCATTGATGACACTATAAACATAATCTCTCGATGGAACTAGCATGACAAGAAGGACTACAAAGTCGGCATAGAACACCAGCATCCAGGTAACGACAGCACATGCAATACCACAGCCATCTCGAATAAACCACATTGTTCCCAGGGAAGCGCGGCTAGGAGGTGGAACACACTTTTCCGGCTGGAGGTATTCTGGTATCCTTTCAATATCTCTGAAGCGGTGGAGTGGAGTAATCATCATAGGCTATTATGTCCATACTTGCATCTGAAAGAGAATCAGAAACAGTGTTTCACCACTCTGCAAGACATGCAGCCCCTCTGCTCGCGTAATGGCACGGCGATCACGGGGAAAATTCGAAACTGCAGAAAGAGAGTTGAAAAAGCAAAAAAAGGTAAATATATCAAACGTGAAATAATGGATTTGGAAACCACGCTCTTTCGCTTATCGGAACAGTTCTTACTCAGAAGAGTCTCTAAGTGCTTTTAAGATGTGCTTAATTACACACTGGGTCCACCTGTGTGCCACCTCCACCTCCCCCTGCGGAAAGGCAACAAGCCTTTTTTTTTTAATGAAGAAAAAGTCATCAGGTAGGAGCCAACAGGAACTGAAGCAAGAACTGGGCACTGCCATGTGAGGAAAAGAGGAAAGATCTGGCACAGCTGGCAGGGCCCCTTCTTGCTGCCTCAGATCTGGGGAAGGGTCTCTCCTACAGATACTGGGTAACTTAGCAAGTAGAAAAAGTTTCCTTTCTCCTTAGACATTGACTCACAGCTTTGCTGTAAAACTGCAAAACCAAGCCACTCTAAAATTAGATTTGCAGGAATCGACCAAGAAGCAACCCTGGCAAAGATCTTGACAGGAACTTCTAGTCTCGGCTGGAGGACGCTCTTCCCCAACAACAGCTGTCTCCTACTCTCACCTTTTCCTTTGGCCTTAAAATCCTTGGAAGTCTTCTGCTCTGCCACGGCTCTCACGCCACCTTTGGCTCCATCCCTCAAAGGCATTTGTTTTGCCTCCCCTTTTAGCTCTTCTAGTCAGCTCCATTCTACTGTAGTACTAACATGGACATTGCCCTGTCCTCTCCTCTCTGCAGGCACCTTGTCTATCCAGAGGGTAAGGTCCACCTTGGAGCCAGAAACTGTAATACTCCAGCTATGTGTGGCACTTACCATGGTTTCAGTGCAACTCCCACCAAACACAGGCATTTGAGAAAACAGAAAGGGTGCTCATAAGTCTCTGGCAAGGGATCAATCCTTTTGCAGTGTGAACGTACACCACTCAGTAAGAGATCGCACCTGGAATGCTAAGCCTTGAAAGCGGCTCTTGATACACCCAGCAGCTTCTTCCAAAGACACCTCTTCACAGAGTATCTGCACAGTGCTTTAAGCACTCAAAAACACTGCAGCCTCTAAAGATCCACCTTCTACAAAAACGGCTACAATAATTTTACTACCAAATGCACTGAACTGCAGGTACCTGAACGGAAGGGACCATCCTCCTGCTATTTCAACATGTAAGGCTCCTGCTCACAGCTTTTCAAAAATAGAGTGTGCACGACGCCGTTTTAGTTCAGAGAAACGAAGACAATGTTCACCATTAATTAAGCTTTCTGCCAAAAAAGTTCATACTGAAGCTGGTTTTTGTGCCAGTTTAAAAAGTTACAGTGTTGCCTACACAAAGCGGAAAAGTTTTACAGAAAACATAGTGAGCAAATTGCAAAGGTACCTAGGACTTTAAACTTCTCTCCAAATGTTATCGCTAAGCTCTGCCAAGCACAAGGAGAAAGCTTTATTCTGCATAATGCAAACCAAAAAGGATGTGTTATTGCCCCTACCCAGACAGGGAAGAAGAAGATAGTTTGCTTTGTAGTTATTATTTCAAGAAGACCAAATTCGTAAAAGGAAAATTAGTCTTTTAAGGCCAAAGATTAAGGTTATTAAGGAGCAGGATAATTAATTACATCCAAGCAGAGAAGGGGATGAGCTCTGTGTGCCTTAGTGCGAGTGACATCGGGGAGAGGTGACTGGTACTGCTACTGCCACAGCGAGAGGCAAAAGCCAGGAGCACAAGGTTTCTAGGTGCAGAGAAGGGGATGAACTAGACCATTTACAATATTTGTTTTCTAACATAACTGTAAACAAATAAACCAGGAGAATTAGGTATTTTCTTATCTTTCTGCTTTGAGCATTTAGTATGCTGCCAAGCGAGTTTAAGACAGTTTATGAATCTGAAGAAAGTCATGTGGAATAATGTTAAAGCATACCAGTCTTGTATTTATACATACATCAAACAGAACAGAAAAATCAAGATAAAAATGTCCTTGTGAGAATGTCATTTACTTTGTTGAGAAAGAAAAACCACAACAAAAAGCCCTCTCCTCATTCATAAAATTCACGCATCACGTTGTAATTACTGTGTATTTTAACCACAACTATAATTTAGCCTCATGACTCCCAATACTTAAGAACACAAGCTATGTAATTTCCATAAACAGTGATTACCCAAATGATCTGGTGGTCTAGGTTCAGATAAATCTATGCCTACTGGTAAATCCATACCTTTTCTCCAGGTTTTCACAATTTCTGTAAGGGCAATTATGTACTTACACATTCACACAGACTTAACCAGCATTTCTAAGACTTGGTCCTTCCCCTCCCTCAAGGAAACAGGTTAACCTTCACTGCATTACTTAATAATCTTATTAAAATTGTTATGCTGGTTTGCAAGCTCAAAACAGGGCTGACATAATTAAAGACTCATGCCTGACAACAATGTTCAGTTTACAGTAACATCGTGTTGCATTAAAAAGTGAGAAAGAGAACACTGATTTAGTTATTTCAATTTTCAAACAGAAGTCAGCCTTGACACACCAGGAGCAGTAACAGGCTGGGATAGTCCTGAACACAGTCTTTCAGGTTTTTTTATCTAGACTGAGCCTTTTTTTCCCCCCTGAGGTTTTGCTTCCCAAAGCAAAGGAATGAAACAGTCAGAGGAAAAGCAAATTCCTATTTAACAGAGGAATTAGTTTGACAGGTCACCTTAAAGTCAGTATTAGCAAAGACTGACTGAAAGCTAAACAAACACACAGTGATTAAAACTGTGGGTTTAGTCCTGAACAGCACACTTTGCCAGTGAAATAAATCTCTCTTGCAAGTGCAAGAAGTGGTTTTACTCCAATAAAAGTTCTACAACTCTCTCTCAGAAATATTACTGGAGGAAAAAAATAAGAAAAATATATAGCTGTGTAACCTACAGCCGGAAGGAGCCTCAAGACACCTCAGTCTGAAAGTGTGGAGACTCATTTCTGCAGTGCAGAGTTATGAGACACAGCATAGGCCTCCAATTCTGGCTGGAGGACAAATTTGTTATTCAATGTGCTTGGCTATTTAATGCTTAGTTTAGAGGCATCACCAGACAACAAAATGAAAAATCAGTAATCGGTACATAAAACACTGTACATTATTCGAGAAATATGTGTGGTTCAGTGTTTGTTATCTCAAGAGTCAATCTATAGGAGCTTAGAGTCTCAGCTTTTCTCTTACATGACCTGGTTAGTGGTTTTTTTAATACCTTGTTCTTACATACACAAACATCTGCTTTTGTTTATGTTGTCCAACTAGATATTTTCATATAAATAATACAACAACAACAACAACAACACTGTAGGGGGGAGGAAGCAGTAACATGCCCTAACTGGTTTGCCCTTCAACCATGCTGCATATGAATTTAATTTATCACACAGATGGAATATGTCAGTCCCTCCTGCTCCGGAGCAAACAATATGTAAACAATGTAGGCAAAGGGCTTAAGGACTTAATCTGGGTGTCAGGCTACATGAGGCCACTAGGTAAGTGTGAGATACAATGACAACACACACATCAATTCAGCTTAATGACATGACAGAGCAAAGACCTGTTCTTTTTATCTGGAAGGCATTTGGTACTACAGGAACAACTAAAAAACATGTAATATACAAATTAGAAATGTAAACAAATTAAAATCCACTTCCTGCTACAATGAACACTTACAACATGCTATTACACCCTATATAAATTAAGTAACTGTTTTTTGATCTGCCATAAGCCATGTCCAAAAAAACTTGTTTTTCATGACCTGTGACCACCAAAGAATGTGCAAAGAACAAGCAAACAAACGATGTGGGCCTTAAGAAGTACCTGAAAGCTACCTGAGGTCCTGATGCTGTAAAAGCTACAAAAAGCTTAAAAACAACATTATTGTCAACCTGCTGATTTTCATGTAATTACTCGTGCTAGTGGAGTCAAAAGCACATGAGTATGACTTGTAAAACTACAGCATTACTAGTACATTGCAACCATTTCCTTTATTAGAAGTCATACTATATTCATGACAGCTAAAGCAGGCAATCTAGATCTGCAGGACAGGATGTCCTTTTAAATAAAACCAACAAACTCCACTTGATAGACAGAAACTGCAAGAGTTCCTTTTTATATTTCATTTTTCTGTACATAAAACTGCAGTGACAAAACCACTGTGTATTTAATCTTCCTTTGCAACAGACATGAGAGAAAGTGTGCTTTCTAACACAATATTTACCTATGCTTCCCCCTCCTGTCACACCTCCATACAGCCGAAATCTAACAACAAGCTTATCAAAACTTGCCAAAGCAAGTTCTAGCAGGGATAATAACAAAGGAGTACCAGTATTTTTATAATTTTTTTTTCTAAGGGCTCATGCAAGGCCTAAAAAGCTTTATCTGATCAGCAGGAGTAGAATGAAACAGCCCAGCTATGCTGAGAATTTTTGGCAGTCTCCTGCAAGTTCATCCAGATATCCATCAGCATGGCAGTTTCCAACCCCTGGTTCACAAAACTCTGGAGGGTCAAAGGGACATTTCTAACAGGTCTGTGAAAGGCAGCTAAAAAAAGCAAGCCTATTATTAGCAGGCTTAAATTTGCTATAGAGAGCTGTACCTCCATTGGAATATTGTCAGGACTCTACATACGGTTAAAAAAAAAACCCAACAACCAACCAACCAACTAACAAAACAAACCTGATCCCAATTCAAAACCCCAAACAGGTAAAACCCTACTGTTGGGTTAAAATGGCAAAAGCAATAAGGAAGATCTGGGCACAGAAGTTAACACTGTGCTTACAGGACACTCGATGACTCAGATCAAATGATCACAGGGCAAAGTCAGTGCTGCTAGCCCTACTCCAGACACCCCAGGAGCAGGTAACAGGATTGTGCCTACCACAGATACTTTTTCATTTTTCTTCTGGA